ATACGAACAGTTTTCCGAGAGCGAAGCTCAAGGAAACCTGTGAGCTATGAGGAACAGATAATTTCCGAAGACAAATATAAGATAATATTTTCGTGCAAATTAGGAGCTATTATGTTTATCATCCCTCAAATAGTTGCAAAGCGCTTGAATAAATGTTTACGAACAGCTTACTGTTTGCTGCGCGGGATGTTTTCTTTTGAGTATTCTCTGGTACGACTTTATGAACGAAAAAATATTACCCTTCTTCTGTAAATGTAACAACCATAAAACGCTCTGTTATCTTGGATTAAATTTCAAACGAAGACTTACCGTAGTGGACGTAGGGTTTGAAAATTGGGGAATATCACTTGGGCGATATATCGGATATACCCCAGGTTTAGCTGGGGAATATTCGGTCATATGATGCGTATAGACCATTCGCGCGCGATTAAAGAATATTTCATGGATCATAAAAGCGAATATTTTGAGAGTTGCGCGGTATTTCTCCGGGCTTCGAAGGGGTGAGCGAGCTGTGAGCAAATTGTCTGCTCGTAATATATGATAAGCCATCGAATAAGAGATTTATTATTCCACAATTATTTCACTTTCTAGTATTTTTATTTTAGTTTGCGAAATACATCCTTCGGTCTTATCTGTGCATCTTATCGATCATGACGATCGCACAAGGAGTTTGCCAAAGACGAAAATACACAAACAAAACTCAAAGTTTTCTTTGTGATTAAGGGCTGGTCGAAAAATAAAACGCTTTTACATACAATCTTACAACCCCGGGGTGCTGGGGTGCGGTTTCTTGAGGCTGTTGTTGCGCTTGCAATGAAGGAGTTTGAGCTGAGTCGTTCTAAGCTCATATCTCAAGAAAGACGAAAGATTTATTCTCGAACACATATGTATTTATTCATGAAAGCGTCATGCGTTGTGTTACGCGATGTTAGGTTACGCGAGGAACCGTTGTTTACTTAATACGTTATACGGAATAGTTTGGGAAACGAAATATGGTCGATTTACGACGCTAAATATTCCGAAATGTGAACATTTTACACTCCTTGTGAGTCCGTTGCGGTTTCTGGTGATTTCTGCCATGAGACGGCTAGGAAATGTACAAAGTTTTAGAACATGCATGTTTCGCTTTTGAGCTTTTTTGCCATGAACGCGACCTTGGCTAGGCGGATTACCCCACCTTGAGACGTTTACATGGCAAATTGTCGCCCTGGCTGACAGGGTTACCCTACCTGGCAGACCGGGCAACCCGCCTAGGCGGGTCACCCCACCTATCATGTAAACGTGATCAAGATAAAATAAGAAATTATGTGGAAAGACGGGTTACCCCACCTGAGCGGGTTACCTTACCTACCTGGGGTCCCCCACCTCCACGTAAACAGGCCCCAAGAAAACAACTCTGTCGCGCTTTAAAATTTTGCTTCTTTCAAAAGCACGAAATTTAACCTTATTCGGTAACATGAGATAATAACATCGGAGATTTTCCAGTTTTAAGATATTTGTATGAACTTCTGGATAAATAAATCTCGTAGGAGCAAAAGAAGGTACTCTACCAATCGTTACACTCTATACATTGCTTTTCATCTCTAATTATAAGCCCTAAATTATTTTTACGGCGTAGTTTAAATGGCTCACAAACAAGCTCCTCAGCATGATTCTCAACAGATTCAAGATGTTTTCTTCTCTCATGGTAGTTTTTCATCTGTTTTCTTTCAAAATTTTAAGATAGTTAACGTTATTTCCCTTTCTGGTGGGAGCTATTTGAAAAAAAAACAAAAAAAAACACTATTCTCTCCGAGATAGAACCACTTTAGCACTGACCACTGGATTAGTCTTCGGCGGACGCAATTAGAAAACCTGTCAAAACGCAACGAGTAACTGCAAATCAAATGACGCAAAAGCAGCTATCAGCACAACAAAATTAACTTCTACCGTTACCTTGTAAGTAGTCAGAACTCACATCAATTAGCAACACATTGGAAAATTTAATGTTCGTATCAGTTCTTCGAATCGATCGTCTTTACAATGGTTGTGACCAACATACTAAACTTGAAGATTTACGCAGCATTCACGAAAGTAACATGTTATCATAACGTTATTACCTCAGTACAATACTTTCAGACAAACTGTTAACGCTCATGTCTTTGCTAATCGGTGACGAGACTTTTTTTTTAGTATGTCACTAAGTACTTTTTGTTCCCTCAGCAAAAAAACACCTCCAAAGAATCAAGGTGCAAAGCTGAGAGTATCAACCAGTAAACTACTCTAATTTGCCTAATGGCAAAGTCGTTGTGGTGGACTTACAAGTAAAGAAAAAAATTTATCAATAAACTTGAAGCTTTAAGGTAAACAAAAGCTACTTGGTTACTTTTGTTGGCAGAGTCTTTGCTCCTATTTAACTTTGTCCTTGATCTGTGAGCACTTCACCGTAACGGTTCGGCCACTTATTGACTGGAGGACGACCGTAGCGAAGTAAGCTTCCATCAGGTGTGATCCATCCAACCGCTTCTTTAGTTGAGACATTGGAAATATCTGTGAAATGAGCTCTCGCGAACGTCAACTTTGCTCTCGCAAAGAAATATTATTTGAAAGGAATATAATCATTCTTTATTAGAGGAAGTCTTTCTTCAAGCCTGCTTCTTCTTGTTAGAAATGTTGCAGGGAATTTAGATGTTGTGATTGGTCAGAACATGTTCATTACACCTGCAACATAGCACGTGCTTTACCTCACGTGCGAGCTTCGTCGGGCATGATATCATAACCTACTTGGGACACGTCGAAAGCGCGCGGATATCATGCGAGCTTTTGCTAAAAGGTTCCTTGTGAATGATAAATATATAACATTATTAGTTTCCCTTTAAAACAACTATAGATAACGAAAATGAAAACAACCTGATCAAAATTCAGAGAGTAAAAACGTGATTGGCCAATGCCTGTCAACCTCAAATTAAAGCTTACTTTGTCATAATAATAATTTTGAAAAAAAAGGCTATTTTTGTGAATAACTTTGCTCTCTACTGCAAAACTTCGGTAAACTGATCAGATTTTCATTTGGAGCTTCGCATAACAAGGGAAAACTTGTACTCTTCATTCCCCGCTTTTATCAACAACGAGTTAAAACCGACGAATTCATTTCACAACGTCATTATTATTCCGTTTTGATATAACATCGTTGGGATAATTTGAATGAAAATAATAGACAAAACAGACCAGGCGCGAAAACGTAGCTTTCTTTGGTCTCCAAAGTTCTTCACAGCACAAGCTGTCACAATGATTTGTCACGTCCAAAATGATAACCGTACATTGTAGGGCCATGCATACATCACAAAATTAGTGATTTTGGCGTAATTTTCCTACAGCTATGGGTCTTAGAATCACATGGTAGCCCTACAATTTTCACAGTTTTTCTAAGGGTCAACCACGCGTATAAACTCAAATGTTTCGTGCTGTTGCATCAGTTATTTTAACCATTTTTATTTTTCTTTATCTGTTTGTTTGATACATTGATACATTGTTTGATACATTTTGTTGACTGAGACTTAAATGATCTTCAGTACTAGTCTCTACAAGTCCAAGGCTGAATACAATTTACCGTTTGTAGTAATACTTTTTCTTTCTTTACGATTCTGCTTAAAAAATTCCATCAATGTACACTTCCTGAATAGTACAGCAAATTTAGAAATTGTTTAGTCAACTCAAGGCATAATTATTTGCTCTAATATTATCTATACTATCATACGCCGTCGACTTCGACACTTCCTGAAATCCACGCACACATATGGCAGCACTGATCCTTTGATCTTTCTTGGAATAACCACAACCATTTCCGTTAAATATTTGCCCAAGAGCTGGGTGTCAAATTAGCTGGTAAATGTTTCTCCATGGAAATATTCATTTTTCAATTTAAAAAAAAATATCGACTGAACTTAAAAAAACAATTAAAACATAAAGTTTATTACACAATTAAGAATGGAAGTTGTGTGGAAGGAACGTTAGTATTTCATAGCCATCGCGTTGCGAAGTGCAAGAGATTTCTCAAAGGTCAATGAGTCGTGCGTTCATATATAACAAGGGGTAATTTCATGATCTCATACCAGAACTTCGATCACAGCTGAAGATTCTGTCATTCTCCATGATATAAAAAAGTATTTAAGACTAATCCATTGACCGTTTTCGGGAGGGTTAATCAGTTATTGTTATGCAATTGAAGAAAAAAATTGGAAAATTTCCCTAGTCTCCTATTACTGTAGAATCACGTGTTCCCCCTCGCGGTCCTCACAAGTTAGCTCGCAACGATTAGCGATGCATAATGGCGAATGCGATGGTTTACAGACTTCTAGTGACTCTTTTGATTATTTGTCGCTCTGTTTCAGGTAAGTTGTTGGCGTGCCCATTGAAAAGAGCTTAAGAAGTAGCTCAGTGACACGACAAAAGGATCCTTGAAATTATGTGCAAACAATATTCAAGCGCGCCCATGCATAAAATAGTACTCCTTCCCCGCTCACTCCGTTTTGTTTATCTGCTAGTTTCCACGCAAAATCATCTTGGATCACGCGAATCTGCATTGATGAAGTTATTTTAATATCCGTAGTATTTTTGCGATCAACAAACTGGGGAGGAACTAAACGAAACGGGTGTGTTTATTAATAGTATGCGGGTAACCTTGCTTCGAAAGAGGTTGTTTTTCCGCAGGTCAAAGGAGCAGTTTAAACATTCTTCGATCTCTGTGGCTTTTTCTTAAAATCGTTTTCTTGTTAAATGGCTTGTGGTGTGCGTAGTTTGTAAGATCTGAATGGAAAAAAAACTCTTCAGATTTCAGTTGCGCGAGTACCTACTCGACTTGAGGTTACGACCGAACACGATGCATACTAATTCATCTCATGTTTACCCACTCGTAAGAAAATAGATTGTTATTCTCGGTAAGGCGTGACTTTTATTTTTCGAAGATGTCAATTTTAGGATATTAGAAATGTGAAATGGTTTTTTCTGCCTATTAGAACGGCGATTTCGCAAAGTTTCGATCCATACGCAATGAAAAATGATTGATTTATTCCACAAGATAAAAGATCGCATTACTCCTCGGATAATAGTTGACATGGGGGAGGTACTGGGGGAGGTTTCGCGGGAGGTGACGAAGGAGGTACATGTGTGTGTACCGATCGTTAATTTTGGCGAGGGCTCGCTTCGCGTGTTCATTTCTAGTTAAAACTTCAGTACTATTTTATCCCATGGAACAAGTATATGACAGGAAGGCTTTTCACTCCAAAATGGTCTGTTCTTAGATTAAAAATATCAAAAAATGATAAATAAATAAATGAATAAATACTATTTATGTCTAAATGCATAGAAAATGAACACATTTTTAAATGCATTCAAGGACTCCCTGGAGTCTGATTTTTCCACACAATCTATTTATTTATTTATTTATTTATTTACTGGCAATATTTAACCAGACTGGCCAAGCTCAGCTATAACCTGGTTCAAATAGGGCACTGAAAGGTTCTTTTAAACTTCTCAAGAATATCAGATGTCAGTGGATGCCAAAAATTATGTTGTGTTTTTAGTGGAACATTTCTGAATATACTTTATTGGGTATAACATCTAACTGCTAGGCATTTAGTCCAATTAGTCCTGGATCTAGCTAAATTCCCCCCACGAATATTTTCAAATTAATATTTGGACAGATTTTCAGGCTCTCTATTCTCTGAAATAAAATTCAAACAGCAGGATATTGAAAATAGAAGGTTGTCAAATGTGTCAGTTAAAGATTTTTATTGAGTCTCATTTCATCCTCTGACTAGAGGATGAACTAAATAATGTATTTAGGATGACAATTGTACTCAGTTAACAGTGGGTAGCTTACTCTAATGCTAAAGGCACCAGACATTTGCACCTATGCATCTCAGATGGGAAGAAATATAGCATCTTCACTGTTCCTAAACTCCATAAGTTAATGGGTTGTGTTAGAAACTTTAAGCTGAAAAACATGCAGAGTTGAAATTTGGAAGTATCATTGTATGATGAAGATTTTTCAAAATCGGTACCTGATGGTTGTATTGTTTATTTCACAGTACACATAAATCCCTTGAACTAATTCCCGTGTTACTGCCAGGCTCAAACCATTTTAAATCAATGCATAATTAACACTTAATTTACAAATACATCTAATTACTAACAAGGAGGTTAATGTTTTTATTTTGATACCAAGCCTCTAATTGTCCACCTGACTGGTATGGATTTGGTAACTCTTGTTACAAGTTTGTGGTGAGATCTTTGTATGTGAAGGGCCTCAACTGGGAAAATGCACGAAGAACTTGCCTAAATTATGGGGGAGACCTGGCTAGTGTTGAAAATATTTCAGAAATGAACTTCATATACAGTCATTCCTCCAAGAATTGGAGGGAAAATTATTGGATTGGACTCAATGATCAGCACAATGAAAGCCAGTTTGTTTGGAGTGATGGAACACCTTTCAACAGTTCTGTCTATAATAACTGGAAAAGTGGTGAACCTAATGATGGTGGTGGAGTAGAGGATTGTGTTGAGCTCTATCTCCGTCGTTGGAATGACGATAAATGTAATAGTGAGCTTGGTTATATCTGTGAAAGGCCTAAAGGTGAGCATGAAATATTGATTAGTCCCTGAGTGACGCTACATGTACACTATGAATGTAATTTACTTAACTCTCTTATTCCTAAGATCTCATAAGTAATTTCCTTTGTTACTGTTTGCTATACAATTTATATGATGTGAGTTTGGAGAATTTTCAATTGAATCAATTATCAATCCCTCATCACTCAACTGCTTACCAACCTCCTGGTATTTTCTTGGTATTGTAAGGAGAAACTCTGTCTTAGTTACTCATGAGGGTTGAGGGATTAACAATAAAAATGTATAATGTGGTTCTTCCTTAACCCTCTAATACTAGAAGTGATTGACATGCAACTTCTTCCTATAATATCCATTAACTATTCAGCAAACTCATCAGATAGACATTTTAATCTTGATCTAGCATCACATTCTTGTAACTAATTCACAAGCTAAGTGCAGCAGCTAGAGGGGAGAATTTAAACAAATCAGATCTAGAACTTTTTACCAGTGTTGTTATGATATATTTATAAGTTACTAACTATATATTATATCTTATTATGGGAAAATCTTCCAAATTTGATTTGTTTTCTTCACAGAAAACAAACATGTATTTCTTCTTTTTTTAACAATGTAGTGGTAGTTCAGATGTCAGAGATGGAATTCCTTTGAAAATCTCAAACCTGGTTCCCCTATGTACAAATTAAGCTGTATACAGAAAATCAATGTTACTTCAATTTATTACTTTGTTAGACTTTATTTCAGGTATATTCTGTTCCCGTGTTTTTACCTCATATAACATACCACATTACCATTACATAAGAGGAATCTTTAAGCTGTATTTGAAGGGCATCTGAAAACTGATGTACTAGATTTTGAAGATAGTTCTGCAATCCCATCAAAGTTGTTGGCACAACGTTTTATTTACCAAGCATCACTTACAGTAAAATAGCAAACGTTTCCAAGACCAAAGATGTGCATTTTTTTAAACTTTTTTTTCTCTTCTTTCTACAGGAGTACCCATGCCTACCTCATTAACTGTATCACCACCAGCCACTTCCAGTGAGTTCAACATTTTAGGCATATTCTTATTCAGTGGCAGAAATTTTGCCAGTTAAAGTATGAATTAATTGTCATAAATTATTGTCTACGTTCAGTTGGAACATTAGCGGAAAAATCATGTTTCCTCGCAAAAGAATGCTCAAAATTTTTAACTGAATTTGACATTTTGATGGGAAATCTATTTCATTTCTTAAGTAACATGATCTTCTATTGTTCAACTCAAAGAGAGATTCCATATCTACACACATCCATGCATTGTTCACCACCTATGAATTTAATGTCTTCAGAGCATAAGCAAGCAATTTGAAGAAGTCATTAATATATGTCTCTTTGCTGTCTTAATTCTCCAAAATCTATGCAAATATTCTCTGATGATTTTGAAACCATTCATTATTGTTATTTTTGTTCCTCACCAGAATTACAAGCTATTATAAGCTATAATTCAACAAAGCAAAAGCATGTGAACTACCTTTAAATTGTAGCTTCAACTTCAAACTTTTTAAGGGTATAAAGGGGATAAGCCTTTAACTCTTACATTTGACACTTGTGATTTGGAAAACCTCCAAGTTGTTTGAAATTCTCTTTGGACTTGTGCAGATATTTTATGATGAAGATTTCTTTCATTGTCTAAAATATTTTTACTTTTTGACGACACTGAATTTAATCTTTGTAGACATATCAACCTTTCACTCCTAAGATCTGATTAGTAATTCTCCTTACTATCTGCCATACAATTCTTATGATGTTAGTTCAGAGAATTTGGTATTGGATCAACTAATAATCCCATGATTGATACTCTTCTCTATTCTCACAACCTGCCTGCTTGATATTGTATTCATACTGTAAGGAGAAATTCTGTCTTGATCACTTGTGGGAGTGAAAGGGTTAATCCTTTAACTCCCAGAAGTGATATATAAACATGTAGCTTCTGCCTATGATATCCATAGATTATCCAGCAAACAGATAATGGGAATACTTAAATTTATTAGGTAGAATTAAGATTTTCACTTGATCTAACACCAAATTCTCACTCCAAATTTACAAGTGAATGTGTGGCAGCTAAAAGAGAGAGTTATCAATAAGATCTTAGGGGTTAAAAGGCTACAAACATCAAGGTTGTGGTTCCCTGAGCCTTAAACTCACTGTTCTGTTAACCTTGCTGAAAGTGTATTTACCACTGAGCTTATATATTTTAGGGTTTTCAACGTGCTTTGATTAACAATTTGGAAGTAGGTGGTCCATTAACAGTTAAATAATTTTTCTGCAGCCCCCATTTCCTGTCCTATCGGATGGGAATATTATGGGTCATCCTGCTACAAGTTTAGCTCAGTTAGAAAGACATGGACTGATGCTGCAAAAGACTGCCGAGCATTGGGAGGATACTTGGTTAAAATAGATGACAGTGATGAACAGCATTTCATAACATTCAAGCAGAGAATTAGTCACAGAGTGAGTTTACATGCTTCAATTTCTAGGTGATCCCAATTGTTTCTCTCCCATTATTTCATTTCCAGTGGTGGAGCTATTTGGATAAAAATTTGTAATTCAAAGAACAAGGCTAGCCTGGTTCCTCGTCAGTTTGAACTAAAATACAAGGACATGAACATGTAGATTATCCTGGAGAGTCCTGGTCAAACCAGCAATCCTCGGTGTGTTCAATTGAATAAGCATGACTGTCTCTTAACCCTAACATCAGTATGCATATTCTCTGTATTATTTCTATATATATATATATCCCAAGATGCTGACAACGAGAATTTGTTTAACGACGAAGATCGAGCCTATTTATGGCTGGTGATCATTTCATTTATTCTTGTGACCCTCATGTGTAATTCAGAGGTGATATTGTAGTGAGAAATCAGATGCCAGTCACTTGTGGGGTAGGTAGCTATTTTTCCAGTGCCCTCCGCATGATTATATGCTCTCTTGCATTCATTCAAAGCCTCCTGCCATCAGTGTTTTGTATTAAAATTTAAAGCCCACATGAATGATTGTGCTCCATTAATGAGTTACAAAATTTAAAATATGATTTATGAAAAAAAAACGTGTCCATTCCATGTTAATTTCAAACAAATAAACTGTTGTTTTTGCAGACGAGATGGATTGGATTAAGTGATTCTGCTGTTGAGGGAAATTACAGATGGGAAGCTGATAATACGTTGGTAAACTACACTTATTGGGCGACAGATGAACCAAATGATTTTGCAGGCTCAGAGGATTGTGTTCAAGTCTGGGCTTACTCTTCAGGAGGTTTATGGAATGACGATTTTTGCAACTCAGAACACTACTACATCTGTGAGAAACCTGGTGGTATGTAGAGTTTCTTATTTTTAATTGAAATTTCCTAATCCCCTAACTTTTTGACTGCAGGATTGAGTTATGCACATTGTGGTTTGGAATAACTCTCATGATATACAGTTTCTGTGATCTCTTTAGCTGCATTTCATTAACACCCTCTCTAAACATACTGACCAAAAGATAGAACATCCTGATGTAGAGGTAGCTGTTCCTCTTTCCTCAACATTCACTAAGGGCTGTGCCACAAGGCAAAACACAAATGTGAGGCCCACCTGCAGGTTAAACAGACAATGGCAAGAGGTTCTAAAGGTAGCAGAAGACTGCTGGGATAACCAGCTTTTTTAAAAACCCTTACTAATGTCATACTGCTTAGGGCTATTGATGGGCTTTGGACTCAGTTAGATCTTAAGGCATGAGACTAGTGGACATAATGTGTGAGATTAGGCAGCTATACACATACATGCTAAGAAAAGTGAAAAAAGACCCAGCTGGTTTGCATTGAAAAATATATATTTCTTTTTTTGGTTTCTGTGTGTTATATGCAAAAACAGCAATTCACCCTGGTGTTGGTGGAACTGGTGGTTATTTACCTCGGCCTTGCATCTCAGTAAATATCTCTATTGTTCACCTCCACTTTGGTGAATAATTGTTAACTATATTGCATGAATAATCTCATGTGGCTAAGTTTCCTGTGGAGTTTGGTCATAGATAATGATAATGTGGCTATTTTCTTTTGAGTTATGTCAGTAGGGTAATCTAATAAAAATTTTTTTCAATCATTTAGGTCAAAACCTATGTCCATTAAATTGGAGAGGTTTTGGTGACTACTGTTACCAGTTCAATATTCATGGGGCCCATGCCAAGAGTTGGCTTGATGCTGAAAAAGCCTGCATGTCACATAATAGCGGGACTGAATTGGTTAGCATTAGCGCGGGGGCAGAGCAAGATTTTCTCTTAAAGTACCTTAAAGACATGAGAATTCCTCAAATATGGATTGGACTTAATGATCGTAAACAGGAGGGGACATATGTATGGACAGACAAGTCCTCTCTCACCTACAAAAACTGGGCACCAAAACAACCAAGCAATGGTTTTTTCGGAACGTATGCAGATTGTGCAAGAATGGATGCTGATAATCAGAATGGCACCTGGAGTATGGCAATGTGTCGCAATAAGTTTGGCTATGTCTGTAAGAGAAAAAATGGTGAGAAAATTACTTTCATCGATTAGTGGTGATCATTTCCTTTATCCTCGTAACCTTAATGTTTGATTCACACGCAATGATAAAATTTCTAGTGAAGAGGTAAGAGCCCGCTTCAATCAAACACGTTTACTCAGCATTCAATGAAGCTACTCTTTAATACGCACGTGAAGAAGAAGTTAATTTCTAAGGAAGAGAAAAGACAACTTTTACAAAATTTACCAACATATAAGACGAGAAAAATGAATGCGAAGATACCTCGAGGCAAAAACTTAACAAATGCTGAGGGAATATAGAGATGCGAAACACTCGTAGTGGTTTACATCAGCGCAAAAATCAGACACACTGCCAAAAGGGGCGTGAAACATGATATAAAAAAGGCGGTTAAGGTTACATTAAGTGCGAAAATAATGGTATAGAAATGATACGTGTTAAAACGATTAGAAAAAGCGGAAATTAATTTGTGTGGAAACAAAAGACCGGTATCGTAGAGGTCATGGGCTCAAATCCCGTACGGGCCTGAATTTTTTTTGGTAGGCCTCAACTTCTAGTTCAGTAGTGTTCATAGCTGCAAGGATCGCCACTGTATTCGTTTCTTCAACCGCAGTGCACGTATATGATTTTCATATATTTCCAGCCATTATTCGACATAAGACCTATTTGTGAGAAATCAGAAAAATTACACATTCGCCTCATCTGCTAATAATCATATAAATAGACTTTGAACGGATGGAATGGAAATGTGTTTAGTGAAATTTTATGGCATGTGAAGGACAGCAAGGAATTGTTTAATACAGCTGTATTTTCCTGGTATGCACACGTACCTGAAGAATTGTAGGTTTTCCAAGAAAATACCATCGAAGTGTGGTTTATTCCATCAATCATCACGTTTAAGTGTTGTGTAATTAGTATGCGTGAGAGGAGTAAATTTATCTTACTATACCCGCTCACTGGCTTCAGTGATTGATGTCATTGTAAAGTGTTTCTTTAGGATATTTTTCAATATTGAGTGTCGAAAGTAATCCGAAATTGCTTCTTTTTAATTTACTTTGTTTGATGATTGGTCCAGAAAACTCGGGCCACTTTCTCAACCAATCAGATTCAAGTCTAAATCCAATCGCGACTTGGTCACTTACGTTTTCCCGCGCTTCAGACAGTTTGCTTGTTTTTACGTTGATTTCACATAAGCTCCTCCCTATGATTGGCTGTTGTCATTGCTTTGGTTTGGGTTAAGTTTTACGTCACTCAATCGAAAAGCGCTCTAGTTTAGAGAAATATGCTTCAAAAAAAAAAAAAGACAGTCTCTGAACCCTGAACGGCGTAGCTGCCCCTCCCGTTGTTCCACGACTTCTCTCTGTTTGATCCATGTGAAGTTTATCCAATTTTCAACCGGTTTTGTTTTGTCCTAGGCATAAATCAGTGTGATTCGCCATTTGGAATGGAAGATGAGAGCATTGCCGATAGCCAAATATTTACCTCCAGCAATTATAACTTTTCATCTCGAGCAAGTCAGGCCCGTCTTCGTTTGGAAAGCGGTGACTTAAATGCAGGAGCATGGTGCGCTGCACAAAACAAAGTGGTAAATTATTAACTAGGTCTTCATACTGATAACAATAGTAACAGAAATCATAGACCACGAGAAGTCAGAAAAAAGAAAAAGAAATTGATGCTAGCGCGCCGCAGGGAATTCTGGGAGAGAGGCGCCTCAGTCCTAGAGCTCTTTTTACTATTTTTTTTTTTAATCGCGCGACGGACTTCGCCGAAAAGGAGAGACTGCTTGTATTATACAGAAATCATGACCTAAGACTAAGAACTTTCCAGAGTTTAATTTAGTTATGAAAGTAAGTAAATTAAAATTGCAAGTTACGACTATTGGAAGAGAGTAATAAGAGCAAAAAGGATCTTGAACAACCAAGGACAGAAAATAAAAAAAAAACATTGGTAGCTTTACTTCGGTCGGTACTCTTACAACGTGATGGTTTACGTTGTAACAATACATTCAACATTGTGTTGCGTTGGATGTGCGAAAATCCAGCGTGAAGTCATTTAAAGTAGCACAGCTTGAAGTTTTTTGCCTACAGGTCGGGCCCGGTTATTCAAATATATATATTGTGTTAATTAAACCTACCGCTTAATTTCCTGGTTGAGAGTTACCCACTGGATGATATTATCCATCCTTAGAACAATCGGGGCCGGGAGGGAAAAGAAATAGGGCAATTGTTTGTTAAGATTTTTCTGTGAGGAGGTAAATCCTAACATGTAATTCGTATTTTAATGTTCAGTTTGCCTTGTGTTCATTTACCGTTTTGTTATGTGGCAGGGTGAATATTTACAAATTGATTTGGGAGTTGTGCGTCAGGTAAGACACATTGCACTTCAAGGAAGGCCAGGATCTTCCGACTATGTGAAGACGTTCTATCTCAGATATGGAGACAATGGCCTGGATTTTAATAACTATGGTGAAAACGCCACAGTCAAATACAAGGTAGATAATGGGTTTCTTTTACATGTGCTAATATTTACAAATGTTTTAAATCGGATTCAAACGAATGAGAAAATTTGGAGAAGTATATCGTTAACTGATGATTACTAGTATTATCAGGTGAGCGAGACACTCATTTAGTCTGTCAGGTAGGCAATCAGTAAATTAGTTAGTCAATCAAGCGACCTTTTTGTGGGTCCATAATTAATTAGGGAGTCAGTCGTTCAGTCGTTTGGCCGGTCCATTGACGTTTGCTTAGTCTGTTAGTTTGTCACCGAGTCACCAACACCACTATCATTATTGTAATTGATATCAATCATTCATGTTTGTGTAGCACTTCATAAGAGTCACAACCTTTTTGGAATTTCAGACTTTAGGTGGAAATGTCAATGATGCCGCGTCCATCAGCAACATTGCCCTTACTGAACCTATCTATGCCAGATTTATCAGGATTTATCCACTTTCATGGAACTCTCGTATCTGCCTGAGAACTGAAATTTATGGCTGTGCATCACAAGGTAAGAAATAACTCAGCGCTGCACACTATGGCGTACTTTAACAGGCTTTTAAGCGCATTTCGACTGAAAGACGTAGAACCAAACAAAAGTTGTCACAAAAACTAATCGCAGGAAAGTGAGATATCACAGGGAGCCAATGACAGCTAAAAACTTCACGCCGTCTGAAGCGCGGGAAAACGCAGGTGGCCAAATTCCGATTAGTTTTAGTCTTAAATGTAATTTGCCGAGAAAGTGGCCAATCACATCTAGCGAAGTAAAAAAAAACCAAAGCAATGCAGGGCACTTTCGACACTCAATTGAAGATTGCTTATTTTCTTAATTGCATGAACTGTGTAATTGTTTGCGATGATTCTTTTACATATATCTTTATCTCGCCGTTCAGAGACATCGATATCATGTGACCTCACATAATGACCAGCCCCTAGTTGGTTTGATGGTTCAGCTGACTTGCGTGCTGCACTAGTCTTACGGGGCGATAACGAATTCGAAGCCAGTTCTCTTCTACTTTCCAGTTTAACCACTTCTTAATTTTTTTATTACCACCTAACTGCAATGATCTTCGGTCAACTGGAATCTTTTCGTGAAGCCTAATTACTGTACATGACTTACCTATATTTTCCTTAATAAACAGTCTGTGTAGGATAAAAGAAAGTTCTTTAAATCGCATCTTTTTCTCTTTAGCCTCTTCTAAGAAGTGTGGGATTGGCTGGGAGATTGGACCTGATGAAACTTGCTACCAGATTAACTCAAATCAGTGGAAATTGTGGGCAGGTTTGTTTGTTTTGTTTTTAGCTGCTGTATTGGATAACATCGGTGGCCAATAGGTCTGATTCCCAACGGATTTCTAGATAGCACAAGCTCATGCTTGCTTGTAGAGGAGACTGACCCAATTAAGCTCTACCGAAACAAAAATGATTTATGTTGCTGTTATGTTTGTTTTTGTTGTTGTTTTTTTTGTTTCCGACGAGACCATTTAGACGTGTTGTGAAGGTAAAAGCCAGTGACACTGATCAAAAATTGATATTCACAAATTTTGATAAACTCTTGAATTTCAGAAACTCAGACAATCGTCTTTTGTCTTAAGTACGGTACAGTCAAAACCTCAGATATGAGCGAAAAAGGCACGAATGTTGTTCGGCAGACCCATGGTTTTAATAAAGTCCATAAGAGTTTAAAAAACCCTAATTGCATTGCTTTGCCATGAAAATTTTATTATGATTGTTTGTGCATGCAACCATATGACATAGGCAATACTGAATTTATTTCGGTTACAGATGCACGCGCATCTTGCCTGAGCAGAGGCGGGGATCTAGTCAGCATAGTAACTATGAAGGAGAAGAACTGGTTGAATAATAGATTGCAAGCGGTCAGTGGGTGGACTTATTCATTTTGGCTGGGACTGAATGATAGAGACTCTCCTAAGCACTTTTACTGGAGTGATGGAAGTCCTTATAGATTGACCGCATGGGATGCTGGTTACCCCACGAACACACCACAAAGTGAGTCTGATTGCAGGATTGCTTGGTATTTTAAAAGGTGGCATTTAAGACAATTAATAGATTAAATAGTGCATTCAGATTTGACTGTAAAATAAAATGCTCTTAATCCACGAAACAACGAGAAATACGAGAAAAACATTCTGCACAAAAGAGAGTCTTCCTATGAAAAATTAAACAGAAAAGTATTCACACCAGCTAAGTTGACGTTTGTGCAAGTTTCACAGCATCAAGCACTTCAGAATAACGCTGTTTCTAGCCGCGGCCGGTTACGAGCTCTTCACAGGCTTCACGTATTTTCAATCTTGGGTGAAGAGAGAGTAGTAAGAGTAAAATGTCTTGCTTAAGAAAGCAATGCTTGTGCTCAAGTTTCTTTTTCTCCAAAGAGCAAATTAGAGAAAAAAATTTTGTAATTGTTCGGGGTGGCATTACCTAGTCCATTATTTTCCTTAATCCCTCACTGAGGTTTTTCTTTATTTGTTCTCTATTTATTTATTGTATCTTCCTAGCTCCGAAAGCTTGCGTTGAGATTGATACAGTCAGAGGGGCTTGGAGAGATGTGAGCTGCGGAGAATATCGACCATTTATTTGCAAAAGGAAAATGGGTGAGTTCGAGTTCGTTACCAGGTGAAGGCATTTTACAAAGAGGATGAGGAAAACTGAAACTAGTAGTTTCCAGTGTGCGCGCATAAATTTAGTTTTTCATAGAGTACGCATTAGTCATGATTTCTGAGTATGCTCTGATTTATGCTGAAATGGTGTGCTGATGGTTCTTTATTAATTCTTTTGATATTGATCCCTTTATATCAATATCAGAATCTGGGCGACGGCCCACCTACCCCTCCCCTAACCCAACATTCACCCTAACTTGTTATCAATTGACTGTTTTTGGGTTAGGGGAGGGGTAGGTGGGCAGTTACCCAGATACTGATATTGATCCGATTCTTTTATATCGCGTAGCAGCCAATAATCACCCTTCAGAGCTATCTTTGAAATAGCTGAGACAGTATTTGTTAAAACTAGTCAATGAACGGACTGCTAACGGTTGATATGTTTTTTTGTTATTAGCAAGTGGTGTGAAGACTCCTGTGACTGGAAGTAAGTTTTCAATCAATAGCCATGTAAACTTTGCAATGTGGGTGACTGAATTTATCGCTTAAGGCTGTGTTTTTTTATTTCAAAGTAGACATCAGTATGGTTGGCTTTAGATTCTCGTAATATGTATGATGCTTTCCGGACATTTAACCATCATGCAGTGAGAATTAACCACGATTCTGACCTGCGATTCAACCCTAAGCAATTACTGGAATCACTTCACAATAGTTACCGCACAACATAAGGTTATCTATCGCCCTTGGGGGATGGTGTTGGGTGGGTGAGTTTGTAGGATTTGGGGGGTTATAATGTTGTTTTCACGCAGAAGGGAGGAGCAATCAGTCGTTTCTAACAAGAGGTTGAAAATGGACTAAAGAATATTGCAATATTTACTGCGAAGTAGGGAGATGAAAAGATTACTAGAGATTCAACTATTAACTTTTGTGCAGATGTATGGAGCCAGCTTAGTAATGATAAAAGGAATGCCCCCACCCTAACTTGTTTTAAGCACCAAGTTCTAGACGCTAGCCGTATAATTTGATTTTCTTCCTGTAAGCATGATTATTATACCTATTTAAATCCTATATTCCGTAAATCTTTTCAATTTATATACTTTTAACTATTTATACTGGTACCATTTATACTATTCACACTATTTTTACCATTTATACTGGTTTCTTATCTTATCTTTTTTATCTATAAATGATGGTAGTTTTTTAGATTTTAATCCTCTTTGGAGGACCCTCGTGTAAACCACTCTTTGTAATCCTGGTATCCTCAATGAAGATCACATAATTAGTCTTATGGGGATCAGATAAATTTTATGATAACACAACCAAAATCCTTAGACCCTCTCCTTCCCGGCAATAATTAATGCCCGGTCTCTTAAAGGTTTGGAACTTTAGGTTGGAAAAAATGTTAAAGTCAGTGAACGATATTTAAACTCGTAGTGTGAGTTGACTCTCAAACAGCTTTATGTGCAACCAACTAAACTGGTATTATAGTGTCTTTTTTATATTCTGGGATGGAGATTATACTTCACAACTCATTACTTTTTTACTGACCTTCATGATAGGTGTTTGTACTGATGTATGTTTATGATTTTTTAAGACTGGATTAGTGGGACAGATTACTATTGGCCGCTCGATCAAATTGTCGAAGGGAAGTCGGTTGTTGGAACAGTCCCAGCTATTGTTCACGGCGAGGTGAAATCATCTAACTCGTCTCAAAATGGACGCAGCGTCGTATATTTTAGGGGCTACCAGGCGCATTTGGATGCGAGACGGTTTCAAGATCCCTGCATATCGAATCTAGATAAGTGCGAGAATGGCATCACTGTCTCATTTGTTATACAGTTCGAGGATGATGCAAAGACCTGGAAGACAAACACTTTCATTGTGTACACATTCGAGGACGTATTGCAAAAGGGTCGAGGATTTGCACTTTATTACGTCAACGGTCAATTACATACGGCAGTTAACACTCGGCAAAAGAGGTGGCATGTTTTTAAACCTTTACAGACGGGCAAAAATGTATGGCACCATGTTATGTTCACCTGGCAACGCGAAAAGGGGATTGTTCTCTACATAAATGGAAAGAAAAGGTAAGGCTTGCATCACTTGTGCAAAGAAAGAAATTCATTTCTGCATGGTGGACTCGAACTACTGTCAGATTTAAAATAATGCGTCATTTAAGTCAATTATAGGCTAACAGAGGAATTAAAAAGAACTTTTTTTGTCTTTGTTTTTAGCTCTTCTTTGTACTATGGGGTTTCTTCCTCTCACTCTAAAAGTAGCAGTTCATTTATTGTGGGGAGCAAGTCCACTCAACCTTTATCTGGTGGATTTCGGATGCGTTCACTGGCAGTTTGGAGGAGGCCGTTGACGTCTCAAGAAGTAAATCGTATTTATCTGGCCGGTAAGAATATGTTTTTGCGGTTTAGATAAAAGGATACAGTTAAACCTTTAGTAGGCAGACCCAATGAAAAGTCCTGATCTAGTCTCTTATAATGAAGTGGACAACAGACCTTTATCTATCACTACAAGTAATTGAACAAGAAATTTGTAAATAAACAAATACTCTGATGAATTAAAGGCATGTTGCGTCCTTATAGAGCATCTTATTTTTTGCGGTGAGATGGTTTAAAACATATTTTGCGTCTTTTCCACAGAGTTTGGCTCCTGTAGGGTTGGTTGGAAAGACTTTGGGCAGTACTGTTACCAGTTCAATTTGAACAAGAAATCGTGGCCTTCTGCACAAATATCCTGTGTGAACCAGCAAGCAGAACTGGTCAGCATTCACTCACCCGTCGAGCAGGCCCATATATCTCTGGAGACAGGACCTCACGGACTAGACTTACCGGCGTGGATTGGTAAAAGAAAAATATCTTTTTTACAAATCAAATCAAATTTGGTGATTTTGACTGTAGAGTTTGAACAAATTGTCTGTCATTCAGCTCCATTCCTCTCTTACTATTTGATTTCTGCAGTTCTCAACACCGGGAAAGAGTACCTCTGTCAATTCTTACGTTTAAATTATCATCTCCGTCGTAAAAATTTCAACTTTGTGAATCTTTATTCCCTATTTTGTTTATATAGCGTACTTCTCCTTCAGTCCTCTTTAACCGTTACAGCTTCTTTTTTAAGTGGCCCTAATCCTCTTGCGCTTAATACTCACAGGGATGCATGATCAAGGAGTGGAAAGTGAGTTCCAGTGGTCTGATGGGTCAGCGGTTCAATTCACCTACTGGGATGGCTGGCAACCTGATAACTGGCGAGACTCAGAAGATTGTGCCAATGTCAGAAATGTGAACGATGGCCGCTGGAATGATCAGAGCTGTTATAACAGTTTGCCATATATCTGTAAGAAGCCAAAAGGTGTGTTTCAGAATCGAAGAGGATTTTAAAGGACGAACTTGGTTTGTTGATAATGCACGAGTAATTCAGTATCTTGTGTTAGATCACCATCACTAGAAAACCATGAATATGTCGATGAATGGGTGTTTCTGACGTGTTGGCATTCTTGTAGAGAAACGTTTTGAAGTGAGACGGGTTTTTTTTTAATGCAACTGCTCGTAACGTATAGTCCCTAAATCTTTAACACATTTTGTTTCCTAGAGTATATCACACCTCATGGAATCATTGCAACATCGAGTAAGTAATTCGATATGGATCTGAGGCTTTGCTTTCATTTTATAAGTAACTGATAAATTTAGAAATCTCCAAACCAACTAATTTTTTTTCAGCTCCTAAGAAACTTTTCGTTTGCGAAAGTACATCTGCAGTTCTTAGTTGCCCAACATCTACAGTTTTGACGATCAAATCTGCCACATGGGGACGCACTAATACGACCAGATGTTTTCAAGTGAGCGTTAAACCTTGCAAGCTGAATGTTACCGCAAACTTAAATGCTAAATGTGGAGGCAAAAACCACTGTTCGTTAAGAGCCACCAATTCAGTACTTGGTGCTGACCCATGTGGAGGGGGAATTGCTAAGTATTTAGAAATTGACTACATGTGCCTGAAAGGTATGTAACACCCATAGCACATTACACGATAAATTTGATATTTACCTTGATACAGTAACACGAACGAGTTAAACCTTGTTAGAACGTATTTTTCTTTCTACTCATCATTTTTAAATCACACTTTGAAGAAATTTAGTATTTTGAATATTGAAAGAATGATGCTCAAATATCCAGATGTGAAGTTTTTGGCGGTAGTTACTGACTCCCTTAAAGCAATATTAACAATGAGTAAATACATTTGAACACGAGGAATACTTGAACGTTACCTATAACCGAAAAGATTTACACATCCTTCAAAGGTTGAAACCCAATTCTACTCCGTTGATCGTAAAAGTGCCATCCATCTTCGGTAGTCTACTACTGCCCTGTAGGGAGAAGATTCGACGTACATTAGAGTTCCGTTCATGACGCTTACTCGGAGTTCTGCTGAGTATCTCGTACCCGCTTGGTGTGAGATCGATTTTGAAGACTTTTGCACCTGCTACAGCGGTTTTACACCAGATGTCTTCAGCCCCGTCGTGATCATTAGCATCCTCTTTGTCCTTTAGAAGATGCTTTAGACACATTAAACTAACTCGAACTAACAAAAACCGAGTGGAAGTCTCTGGAGGTGGGGGCTTTCAGCAATACGAGCATGGATTTGTTTCCCTGCCTAGGTCGTTGTATCCTCAAAGGCCACTGAAATTTCACTTGAAGGGCACAATTAACTCATTTTCTGAAAGCTTAAAGAGATTACTAGAAAAATAAGTAAACTCTACTAAAGTGTTAAAACATGTAGTCTGGGAAAATTTCCATACTTATTTGGGGAAACAAAATAAGTAGACAATATCTCGTGTTAAATCCGCTTTCTTACTACCAAAAATGTGGGTTATCCCTCAGAAAATTAGAATAATTTGTCATTTTAATCTCCCGAAACAGGTCCTGAAAATTCTCCGCTCTGTAAAGGTGGCTGGCATCTTAGCCCTGATGGCTCTCGCTGCATCAGGGTGATCTTTGATCGCAAAACTTGGCAGGATGCGAGAAGCACGTGTAAAACTTATGGAGGTGACCTAGTCAGTTTCCACAGCAGGTATTCTATGATTAACTATTAATAGTCCATAAACGTATATTCTTATCATTGAAGGAACACTTTTTCATAACCTCGATTCTGTGAAGGAAGGTGCCTTGTGTTGCTTTTGCGCTACTAGAAACTTAGGACTAGGGCTTAAGTTCGTCTTCCAAAGCGTGACAATCCTCAATCCTTGTTTGATCTATTCAACATCTTTTGGTATTTGTCTACCTTGGGAAACTGCTATTCTAAGAATCATTTTTTTCCGTCGCAAATAAACCAATTTTTTCTTTCGCAAGAACACTTGTGTGGCACAAGGTTAGTCGCTTGTTAGTTTCGAGAAGAATTCCAAACCAATGTCTTTTTGTGTTTGCAGCACAGAGAATATCTTGGTGACTTCTCTGTTAGTTGACTCCTGGAACATTGGAGAGGTGGGAGGATTATGGACGGGTCTCACAGATGCCGGTCAGAAAGGCGTGTACTACTGGTCTGATGGGTCCAAGCTGGACTACACCAATTGGCTCAACACTCAACCAGATGAGAGGATTTTGGAGGGAAGTTGCGTTCAAGCCACCTTGCAACCCGGTCGTATGAGCTGGTTGTTCTGGCAGGATGTGGACTGTAACAGCACACTTTATTTTGCCTGTGCAAAACCTCCAAGTAAGTATTTGTCTGCGTTCGATCAAGGCCAAAGCATTTCATAACTTTCTTTACATTTCCATGGGACTTTCGGCCAGAACTAGATTATACAATTTTAGAAATTACCACCAAGATTTCGCTTATTTAAAATTTGGTTTTTACATTAAATTCTTAATTCCCATTGATGTTGTTTGGGAATACCTTCCATTGTTTCACGCAAACGAGTTTTGCGAATCTTAAAAAAACTGCTTTAATGTCGTAGCTTGTGTAGAACCCTTTCAGGTATTTGGTTCTTTTTTTGACGAAAATGGAAAGCTACGAGTTATAACGTTGAGGTGTCAGTGGTTCTCTCTGCTGAATACAATTACTTAATTATCAAGGAAATAGAAACATCGAAGAAGAAAAAGACATAAAAATGGATCTCAAAGAACTCTCTTCAGTAGTTTTACAGGATTAAAAAATTAATAGTGTTTTGATAGTACATGATGAGAACATTTATGTGTAATTTTTTTGTGTTTGTTCATTAATCTCTTTGTTTCAAATACTCTGTGTTTAATTTTAACAGATAGGCAGGTGCTACCCACCAACCTCGTTCCTTCAGGTACGTTTCCGGTTTTGTCTTGTTGATGTGTGAGTCGTAAATAGTACAGTATATGGAGTCTTAGTTCACCATTCAGGTACAGGCCCTATTTCATGGAGTTTAACTAAACTGACCAAGTAACCACTTAAGGAAAATTGGAAGCTGCACTTTCTCCTTGCTAAATTCATGGATTGCTATTTTTGCGCCAAAGCTTAACTTCAAAGGAGTCGTAGTGATGTATCATGTAAGCCTGCTTAAATTGTCTGTATCATAAGAGAGAGTTAGTCCAATTCATCATTTCTAATGAATTCGTCATTTCTAAACTGTGCTAATCATGCCCATCATTAACAATCCTCGTGTATTGTTTATTCACATAGTCTTTGCGTTTGTTGAAGAGTGTTATGTTTAGTATTTCCTTGTTTTGAAACTTCGGTTCGTTTCGTTACCATCATTGGTTTGTATTTGATCTCGTTTTCTTTTTTTTTTCATCCAGGACAAAGTCTGACGCGCACGGCAACTCCTACTTCTACGGGTAACTCGTTTTCTTCTGTCGTTAAGATAAGAATTTTTTGTTTGTTGTTTGCTTGTCTTTTCGAGTTTCTTTACTTAATCCAAGTTATCTTAGTTTTGTAAGAGTCCACGGTAAATCTATCGGTTATTGCAAAACAAGCAGTTCAAAGTAGGCGAAGTTAACAGCCCTTTTAATTGTTTTCAGTTTTTAACTACTTGTGTCCATCTGGATGGATGACAAATGGCTCATTCTGTTACAAGTTGATGTCGCAGAGGTAAGAACCAACGTAAGATCGGTACCGGGGCAGCATTGTAACCGATGTTATTCCTATATTGTAGCGTGATGTTGCAAGTAAGCTCGAAGACCTAAGTTATGGTTCAGCCATAAACTGGGTAGATGTCAGATTTCAAAAGAACCTAAGGTGCCAAGATAAAATCAAGTGATTATCGAAAGGAAAACCCTGTTTTTCAAATCCGTTATGCTGATCTCCCTTTCTTGTCATCACAGCAAAACGTGGACTGATGCAAGAGACACCTGTAGATCATTCACTGCAAACTCAGATTTAGTCAGCATTCACAGTGTAGCGGAGAATGAATTTGTGGCCAGTCTGTTCAGTGGCTTACTGTATGCAGCTTGGATTGGACTGAGCGACCGTGGTGTGTTATATGGTAGGTTCTCTATTTTGACTTTTCAAGCAATCGTCTTTTTCAATATGGGTCTTAAAAACGCGGTCTTCAAGACAGGGGCCGTTTACTTTTGAAGCGGGATTTGGCCACAGTATCTCGGCTTCGATTGGTTCCCTCACACTAGGATAAACCATTCGCTCAGCTAAGTAAACCTTTCTTCTAAATTGAAGCACTAGAAGGTTACGTTGCGGGAGCTCAGTGATAATGGGAAATCCAGAAAGACCTTTGTATTTCCATCGATCGATCGACAAACGCTGGAAATTTTTTTCAATTTACGGTCGGGATGATGGGGCGAATTTCCTGGACCAGTCACAGAGGGAAATAATGTTAAACCGATTAAATCCCAAATAATTCGAAACTGACGCTAAATCTTCTGGCACGATTAATCTGTCTTCCTTCATAAATCGAACAACTTAGTTGAGTGCACCATGGTTATTCGATGTCAGTTTTTTCTACTTCTGTTTCTAGTATCCGGGCTTCCTTTGATAAACTGCCTCCCGCGAGCAATGCGGGGACTTTTATTTGAACGTTTTTCCTTGGTCTGTAGGCTACGTTTGGAGCGACGGAACGCCTGTGCAGTTCACAAAATGGAACGTGCAGCAACCGGACAGTCATCAAGGACAACAGCCATGTGTGGAGATGTATTCTACCGGAGAATGGGGGGACACTGGATGCTACTCTGTAAAGCAGTTCATCTGCAAGATGCCACGATGTAAGTGCATTATTCAAAGTTATTTACAGAGTAGTTGTTTCTCGCAAAGATCAATTTGATGCTTTTATACAATTTCAGGCTTGAGAAGTGGAACTGCTTTGAATACTTTTAATTTCTTTATATATATATATATATATATATATATATACTGTTCGATTTGATTAACTTTTAGGTATCGATTTATAAATAGACGTTGTCACGATGCTAACATCAGGTCCATAGTTTTTACGTTTATATTTATTTTATTTCAACTATAATTACATTTAAAAGAAGACAAGAAGTTTCAGAGTTGCATTGGTTGGCGTGGTTAATTGCAAAAGACTGCTTTCATTGGTGCACAGATAAATTGAGCCTTGTCGCTAAATTTCTTGCGGCATGAATACTTCCTTCAAATTGAAGGCGACAATAGTTTATCCAATAAATATTCAATTATTATCCATGAGGGAATGTTGATAGCCAAGGAAGGGGGTATCATTAGCAAATCGTAAACATTTTGCATCGATCATTGATTTTCTGTCGTACGTTTATTCATGAGCTTTTCCGACTTTTTTGCTCCGATCGTTTGCTTTCTTTATCTCTTAATTTCTTTTGTTATAGTTTCAATTTCTGAATTTCTAATTTTTTTGCAGTGGTTGTTGTTTTGTTGTGTGTGTGTTTTTTTTATAACATTTTGGTGATTTGAAAAATTGAGGTGAAAATTGGCCATATACACCTGGTAAATGTTTCAATCCATGACACTTTGATGTTTTATCAACAGCGGATAATAAACCGTCAGCAACAGTCACTCCAACCACACCTGTTCACCAAAGTGAGTTCTTAAGTTTACTGTGGTTCACATGAGGAGTTTACATCGTGGTTAAGTCTAAAATCCAGTTACTCTAGCACAAATTGACTAAGAAAATTGCTACCTCTCCTGGACTAGTTCAGTGTAGGTACCTTTCCCCACACCCCCCCCCCCCTCACCTTCCCACCACCACCCCCTAACATTTCGCCAGAATATCTTGAAAAACCAATAAAAACAGGTGCGCAAGCCTACATGTGTCTACGGCTAAGGTGATGGGAACACCCGTCTATACTCGTCGTTAGAAAGAAAGGGGCATGGTAAGACTAATGTCTTTCTCAAGCACACCACACAATGACCTGCCAAGGGCCCAAAGCTGGCCCTTCGACGCGGAGTCCGTAAGCCTTGTGAACTCCATGTTACCACTTTTCCAACTAAATGTGTTTATTTACCTCGATTTCCGAAAGGAGAAAGTTGTTTGAAGTTGTAACAAGGTATTCCTCTTTTAACAGCCTCAGGCATTTGCCCTAACAATACGATTTTGTGGAATACAATGTGCTACTATTTCGCAAATGACTCCCAGTCAAGCCGACTCACGTGGCGTGCCGCTCGACAGGCGTGTCAAAAAGAACTAGGAGGAGACCTCGTTAGTATTTTAAGTGCTGCGGAGAATAACTTCATAAAATCTCAAATCTCAGGGTAAGTTTCCTTTGAATTATTTTCAGAAGTTTCTGCAAATTATGAGGTAAACCTTAAAGGCTGGATTCAAGGACGTGTTCGATATTTTGCAATGTTCTTAGGGTATTCAAAATAAATTCAAATTTATGACGGTCAAAATCTCGAGCCCCGTTACTCAATTTTCACCCACAAGCAAGCTCTATCGTTTAATCAAACTTGAAAGCTGTCACTTGATCCATTTGTTACCTGCTCTATGGTTGTATTATTGAAAGAAAAAAATTACATCAATATCCATATATTTTCGAGCAGAAAGGTGATGAGAAGTTAGAAAAATATATATCCATGGTCATTCAAGGAATATCCGATTTCACTCCAAATTCTCAGACTTTTACTCAGGAGAAATGAATATCTTTAGAGTGAAAGGGTTGGTCTCACTCCCCTTGTATGCGCACGCACTTTATGGGTGTATTTTTTTTCATTTAAAAGGCACAGTAGTAATGCTCTTTGGATTGGACTCAATGATCTCGGAACAGAAAGCAGCTACCAGTGGAGCGACGGTTCGCCAGTAGTTTATATAAACTATGGATGGAAAGAACCAAATGATTATTACGGCCAGGAAGACTGTTTGGAAATTGTAAAGCGTGGTTATTGGAATGACCATCACTGCAGTGTCCTGCGGCCGTACATCTGCAAAACGACAAATAGTGAGTTTCCTAGTTGTCATAAGTTGTCACTGTATGGTGGATTAAGACATAAGGTAGAAAATTTAAATAGAATTTGCAAGTGATTCCTCTCATGGACAACTCGTAGATTATTTGTTGGTCAGCTTAAAAGTCCCTCGCTGGCATAAAACGGATAGAACGAAATTAAAAGTCGACTGTATTATTCTTTTTAGGGCCAACTTTGAAACATAGTACTTCCTTGCACTAAGGAATTTATAAAGTTTATAAGCTAGACCACAAACGCACGTCGGAATGAAAATGTGTCTTGGTTGTGATTTGTGAAAATCAGAATTCCTGACTTGTTTTAGCTTTTATGTTTTTGTTTTTGTGTACATTTTTTTTTCATTAATTCTGACGCATATGTTTTTTTGGATCTTCGATTTCGCTTATTTTGAGCTTGTTGAACGGTTTCATTTGCTCTTTGATGTTCTTCTTGATGGTTTTGTCGATATGGCTGACAGATGATCATAATTTGCGACCAGAATTCTGTTTATGACACTCATCTTGTTTACACGTGCATCAAGGAAAAGATTGGGAACATTACAATATTCCCATAGTGTGTCCAAACGATCTCAATTGAAATCGTACACTTACCATATGCTAATCATATGTTTTTTTACAGATTCCAGAATACAAGCTTTGACCACGTCCCCTCCTGACCAATCGCGTCCTGGCCGATGTAAGTATTTCTGACAACAGTTACTGCTGCTATGTATTTTTTTCTCTTTGTAAGTATTATTCCTTCGCTATTGCATGAGTCAAGTCGCTTGGTTACTAAGTTTTGGAGTGCACGCGTTGGTAAATCCGAAAAGAACGAGATTTTATCGTTTCCTGGCCATCTCCCTTTTTGGTCAATGAAAGATTCCTACAAATCTTCCGGTCCTTCTCCAGAGGTCAAGTCGACAGATTCCGAGGCGTGAGGAAAATTACGTGTTGTAAGGATGCATATCGCAGTAGAAAGAGGTACCCTAACTGATTTTAATTTTCTATGATAAAGCACATGGCAGATGTAAAGACGGCTGGGTAAACTATGACAAGCGCTGCTACCGCATTGTGTCGGATCCTCAGCTGTCCTGGGAGAACGCAAGAGATGTATGTCGGAAGGGACTTAATGCCAATGTGAACGGAGACCTTGTTACTGTGAATGATCAGTAAGTACACTTGTGTTAAGTTAATGACCAAATTTCAATTGATTTCGTGGAAAAAAAAAACACAAACAAAAGTGGACACTTCGTTAAATGTTGAGCCTTTAAGTGAAGCTACAGCAGATCGAAACTGTACCTATTTCATGTTGCAGATACGAACAGGCATTTTTGACAACTATGCTTCTGGGAAAGAACGACAATTTCTGGATTGGCTTTAATGACAAGCATGTGGAAGGCAGCTTCTTTTGGACAGATAATAGTCCTCGTAAATACACCAACTGGAATGTCAATGAGCCAACGGGCTACGGCTGGAACAAGGATTGCGTCGACATGACGTCCAGTGGAGAGGCAGGAAGATGGGAAACTGCGCAGTGTGACCAGAAAAAAGGGTTCATCTGTGAGACAGGTTTGTAATAGATTAAAAACTTGATCCATTTTGAATAAGAAACTAAATGGAAGATTGTTGACTGAAAATGTTAAAACAAAAGTTTGTATCAGTTTCGACCCAATGGTTCTATCTTTCAACTATTTTTCTCCAAAAATGAAGTTCTCCTCAAAAGATTAAAGCATTTGAATTAAAAACGTGATCGTAAGAAGATAGGTATCGATGTAGCACTAAGTTCCCAAGGCTGTTTGATACACCAAGAGAATTTAACTGGTATATAGATATCAAAAAATGCGGACATGTGTATTTGTAGTTGGTTTTGGAAATGTTTCCCATGCAATGAAAAGTCTTAGCCTCCATGTGCTCAGCACCATGTAAACCACTAAGATCAGCCATGGGTTTTTAGGAAGGGAAGAGTGGTGAGTTAAGGTCTCGGGAAATGATGATCCAAAAAGAATTCTGGTTGTGTTAGTTACCTCCTTTGCTCATATGTACTGATTTAGATTCTCTTTTTCCGCAGGAGCTGATCAAATCTCAGCGAATGGTGAGCTTGCTAACAACGTATTTTTTTAATCGTATTGGCGGACAATTTTGATAACAACAGGCTTTGGCCATTTGGGAATAATGGCGGAAACAGCCGCTATCGCAGTATTTTTCAAAGTTCCCTATCACCCCCACCAGCAGAAAATTCGAATGACGCAGTTAAACTCTCTCTCTCTCTCTCTTAAATGGAAAAATGCCGTTCGCTTCTGTGATCTGTTGGAAATTGAATCCTGAAAATTTTTATTGAAAACGAACTTAAAAATCAAACGATTAAAAAACTAAAAATAGTAAAAAAATATGAAGAAAATTGAACTCTGTTGTCGTAAAATATGATGAATTGTGAGTGTCTCGCAGATCAACTATTTACCTTAGCCTCCAGCTTTGACAAAGACTTGACCTGCTTGCCTCTGAAATTTACGATAGTTTGCTTAACTTTTTTAAATGATAAGGAATATTGAAACAGTTTAAAACAGACAGGTTATGTTTTAAATGCGGAAACATCAGAATAATAGAGAAATCGATCGTCTTAAAAGCGAACGTTGACCAGACCTGGTTTTGTAGCCCACTCACCAGTGTCTAGTGAATGGACATCGGTTCAAAGTAGACTGCATTCTTACTGGAACACAAATAGTTTTTAGCTGCAGAGATTTTCATGTAATTGATGATTGATTTTTTTTCCGCTCCAGCTCCACCTGGTAACACGTCTTGTCCTCCAGGGTATCTTCCCTTTGGTAGTGACTGTTTTAATGTGTCTTACGTCCCGATGGGCTGGAAGGAAGCTCTTAAATTTTGCCAAGACAGAATGAATGGTAGCGATTTGATGAGCGTTCACAATTCGTTTGAACAGGGTAAAGTATACAAGGAAACCAAAACCCAAGTTCATTCTCTGATGTCCCTACGATCACAGAGCTTTTAAGTTTTCATGGCGAAGTTGTCACGAAAGTGGACATAAGGCATTGAAATTCTAAGCAGTATGATAATAACTACACTTTAGAAGCTACAACGTTTTCACACTTATCTTCAAAGGCAGTAGTTAGTAACAGTTTTCTTCCTGAGTTGCTAACATTTCCCACTTAGGGTGTACCTCGCAAAATTGATTAGCAGACGCAATTGCAAAGTGGCTTTCGCTCTTGTGTGTTTCGTGCGCAAAGTGATTGTGGGATACTGAGAGATAAATTAAACGTACAAATATCAAGCCTCGTCACACTTTTCCCTTGCAGCATTTGTCGTCATGAATTTAAAGGGTTTCCAAGGACGCTTTTGGCTTGGTCTCTCTCGTGAAGCTAATTCTAAAGACTTCCAATGGAGTGACCTTTCAATGAAAACCTATACAAACTGGGCTGCGAAGCAACCAGATGCCCCATATGGCCAGAAAACGTGCGTTGTCGCTAGTAATTCAGATGCTAATGCTGGAGGTTGGAGTGACGTCAATTGCTCGGAAAAAAATAGATTTATCTGTAGATTACGAAGGGGTAAGATTACTAGAATTAATCTCATTAATACTTTTCATACGGGCTCAAAACTTACCATCTCTCTCATTCAATCTACAAACATGACGCTATCGACATTGCTAATCCTAGCAGTATGCAGGACGTGTGTTATATGAACTTCGTAATAGACTTCGCTCACCGTAGAGTCTCTGTGGCTCAGTGGTAGAGCATCGGAGCGCGGAATCAGAAGGTCTGAGGTTCGATTCTTCATGCGGACTCAGCATTTTTTCTTTGTCTCACGCTCACGAAAAGACGAAAAACATCTTTCCCTGTGGAATCTATTTGTTGAGCTGAAGTAAGGCAAAAAGTTTGCTCCGAACATCGTTTTCTTGCGGTGACTAAAGGTTTACTTCTGGCGACCATTTTATGAGTTCAGATCGCTAAATGGCGACTTCGAATAACAATTAGGTTTCCTCTCTATTTCATGATTCTAAAATCTATGTGACTGTCAATTATTGATTGCGTTACTTTTCAAATTGTTACTTGCAGGCGAACCGCATGTGTCACCTCCATGTAAGTATTTCATAGTCAGTGTTTTATCTAAAACCTTTTACCCTAAGAGTGACTAGTATCTAACTTCTCCGTACAGTATCACCCCTGAATCACAGAATGAATCACGAGAATTAAGGAAATGATCAGCAACCAAGGAAGCTCGTGATTGTTAAACAAAGTCTCCTTGTTAGGACATTAGCAATGTCTAGAGAGGAGTATGGAGAATATCTATGCAGATATTAAGGTGTAATACATAACAGTGGGGCGTAATACAATACAGTAGATATACCTCTAACAAGCGGTGACTTTAAGGAAACATCTTGTCAGATTATGTTTATGAAATTAGCGGGTATCAACCCAATATTATCGAACAGTACAATTTCTACATATTTGGCTTGATAGATTCGTTGGTGAGAGGACTGCACCAGTATGATGGGATGGTCATGGATTCAAATCCTGTTCAAGTCCAACTTTTTTTTCCCACCTTTATTCATTTTCGTGGCTAATTAAGTTGTGTGCATAACAGCGATGTTTTTCTCCTTTTAATCTACCAACAATCAGCGTCAGAAATGTTGAAATATTACTATAGAGATCGTATTAATTTCAAATAATTTATTTATTTTATCCACAATATCCTAACTCTCTTTCTCTCTCTTTTTTTTTGTGCAATTTGGAATTTTGTACTCTGTGATTGCATAACATCGAGTAGTGTAAAGCAGTGGGGTAAATGTTACGAGGCGCATTTTCATTTCTAGATTAGAAATTTTCTCCCTTTAGAATCCTTACTGAAGTTAATTTTCTCGACTATTTATATAAAACACAACTTTCAAGGGGAATCTTAGTGATTCAAGGCTCACGGTCGGAGAAGACGAGTACAAGAGTGAACGTGTAAAAAAATTGCCCAGCCCTCTCCCTCGTCTTTTTTCGCTCGTTTCCACCAACTGTGACCCCTGGCGAAGGCTTTATCACCCGGGGCGATCTAAGCATTCAAAAGAGGCCGAAACTGACATATTTGGCGTTGTTTGGATTTTTTTCCAGTGGGTGTGGGGGGCACTTTTTTTGAGAAATAGGTAAGGCATTTGCTCTATTAGCCCCTCGTGTAAGTAGGCTTGTGTACTCAATATTTCTAATATTAGATTTCTCTTGATATTCTAAAGATTTTTTGTCATGGAGACTACCTCCTTTTTTCTCATCGGTTGTTCTTCGCATGGGTACTAAAGTCCCTAGGTAAGAAAATGCAAATAGAGTTAATCGAATTATTTCGATTTTGTTTCAAGTGCTCGGAAGCTGCCCCACTGGATGGGAGAAATTTGACAAGCACTGTTACCTTTTCCGAGACAGCGACTTGCAGCCATGGGCAGCTGCAAGATTCAAGTGTTTAAATCAGGGTGGAAATCTTGTGAGCATTACATCAGAGCAGGAGCAAGACTTCATCACTTTCCACTATCGACGGATTTCCGCTGGAAAAATCTGGATTGGTAAATATTCATCTATTGACACCACGCCAAAAAAAAAAGTGTAATTATACGTTCGCGCAACTTCTAAAATATATTTTTTAGCCGGCTTACTCAACGCATTGTTTACTTAGGATTGTGATACACTTGAGACTACACGATTATGAATTGTGTGGTCTCGACCGTTCTGAGAAAAATTGTTAGAATTCCTTTTGTTTTAAAAAAGAAGTTGTGGACGATTCATTTAGCGCGAGAGTCCTGGTAAACAGAATCTCATTTAGTTGGAAGCCTTCTATAACCCACTCATTGAGTTTTATCACTGTTCAGGTTTGAATGATTGGTCGCTGGAGAGAGGATTCACATGGAGTGATGGTAGCCCTGTGACGTATCTTAACTGGTTACCCGGTGAGCCAAATGACAACACTGGTATGGAGAATTGTATTGAAATGTGGCCACCTAGTAGAGGATGGAATGATCAGTCATGTGCTGATAGACGGGGCTACATCTGCAAACAGCCTCTAGGTATATAATCTCGGTATTTTTTCTTCTCTTTTCTTGGTAGTTTCATTAAGCTTGATGCTCTCTGATGCGGTTTCATACATGAAATCAATCAAAAGTATCTCTTTTCCCCGTTCGGTGCGGGGAAATAAACACTCTTTCTTTACCCCCTACGTTCCTGTCATGCTTCCATTATTAGAAATTAAGTATTGATTTTACCCCAGGGACTTCTAGACGCCTCCCCACCCCACGGCCTAATTTATGTCAAGAAAGAAACGCAGCTGTTATCTCAACCCCCGTTTAGTTCCATGAAATAGCTTGCTGGGTGACCAACTCCTCAGCGGTCAACTAGTTGCTTCCGTGAATGTAGCGCTATGTTCCTCTTTTTGAAAACGCTCTCTGTTGTCTGTTCTTGTACCATGAGCCTGTCGTTAACAATGCAACCCGCGCTGATGTGGGTTGCTTTACGAACAATTTCCATGGACAAAATTAATAGCCGTTGCGATTCAGATTAATCCCATTTCTACTGGGGTTAAAGTGATCACAGAGTTAGACTGAGAGGTGAGTCCACGCCTGCAGAAAGTGGCAAGAATTGAACTATTAAAGTCTACCTCCCAGCTGTTTGGAAAAATTGTAAAAAAGGTTTCATTTCTTGTTATTTAAAGATACTTTTTCATCATTGAGATTTAGAAGATGCATAAAGGAAATCATGTTTAAACTTTACGTTTAAAGACAACATCGTCCTAAATCTACCTTTAATTTCCCTCTAGAATGTGCTGCAGCTCTGGGCATGAGTAATGGTGCCATCAGCAAAAGCCAGATAACGGCTAGTTCTATGTTGGCATCATATGGTCCGGATATGGCCCGGCTAAACTCTATGTCAGCTTGGTGCGCCAAGGCACAATCTGGGCAGTACATCCAGGTGAGATGCGTGTTTTTTAAAACATGGTGTTTGAAATGGTTTTAAAAAATATGATTGAAATTAAAAAGTGGAGACGCTAATTGTTAAAAACCACCATGGGCACGGAGACATTGTAGCTTCGGGCCAGGAATTCAAAGTCTGAGAAAATGAATTTCAAGGTCGTGAAATTTTAATATGGGTCTGTGAAAACTTAATAGGTGATAATAAGTCGGGGAAATCAAAATCGTAGCACTAAGACTCTTCCATTTTCCCAAATTTCAGCTTTTCAGTTAAACCCATCAGTGGCCCCTCGTGGTTCCGCAATAGTTATCGAAATTTTTGACGTTATTGTCAACATTAAGAGTTTAAAAATGGAAAATTGTGATCATTTTCTTTTGCAAGTGCAAGGAAACCATACGATGTAAACAGAGCTTAAAGACATCCAGACTCGCAACATATCTGTGATAACTATATTTTCTTTCAGATTGATCTGCTTACTGAAACCCGCCTCAACAAAATTGCTCTTCAAGGCTTCACTCTCAATGGACTACCCAGCTTTATAAGAACGTTTACACTACAAACAAGCGAGGATGGTGTAAATTATGAGGCATACCAAAGGAATGGTCGAGATGTGGTGAGGTTTTACCATACCTATTGATTCTTCTATTTGTCTGGCGCCAAGCAAGTGAAGAAGATGATTCTTCTATTTGTCTGGTGCCACGCAAGTGAAGAAGATGATTCTTCTATTGGTCTGGTGCCAGGCAAGCGAAGAAAATAATTCTTCTATTTGTCTGGTGCCAAGCAAGTGAAGAAGATGATTCTTCCATTTGTTTAGTGCCAAGCACGTGAAGAATATGATTTTTCTATTTGTCTGGTGCCACGCAAGTGAAGAAGGTGTAGTAGACCTAGTAGCTCCAGAGAACCAAGGGATTTTTGGTCCCAGGGACAAAAATTATTTTAAAAACGGAAGGACATGTTTTATCATATTCTTTTCTGACGAGAAGTGTGATTGATGAAAAGCCAAGATCTACCCGCATTGTTCTAACCAGAATCGTAAGAAACTCAATAACGTAAGCAACGCATTGGAAGGGTAATGAAGAGAATATTTTATCATTTTATGTGATCTTTGTCAAACGCGTGTAATGTTCATAGAATTTTTATTGAAGACGTAGTAATATTTACTCGCGCGGACTAGCTGTTACTGGATGACCGATAATTTTTTGCCCTGTAGGTGTTTCCTGCAAACCATGACGCCAATTCTGTGGTCACTAAATCTGTTAAACCAACAGTTAATACACGCTTGATAAGAATAGTACCAAGCTCTTGGACCGGCTCTTTGTGTATGCGGATGGAACTTTATGGCTGCCCGATTGGTATGAGCTGATATGATAAGTTTTTACTCAGTAAGGACCCAGATTCTTACTTGAATCAAACATTAGTAGCGGAATAAGAAGTGGTGAAATAGTTCTACACGGCAAAGAAGAATAAGAAAGCAACTAGAGTAGGAAGGCTTAAAAAACATACAAACAAACAAACAAGCGAATAAATAAGCCAATCTTTGCGAAGAAAAACAATAGGATAAGGTAATATTCTTGTTTCCAAATTTATTCACACATCCCTTACTATTTATATATTTGCAGCTTGTCAAACCCCTCTTGGGATGCAGTCTGGGTCCCTCAATGATACATCTCTTTCAGCTTCATCGACGAAAGACAGCTCCCATAAGGCTGCCAACGCTCGCCCGTTTCGTGCAGTTGGGTGGTGCGCAAAGGTAATGTCATTCATTCTTTCCCTTCTCTACACTTCTCCCAGAATTTGATGTGAGCCTTTTTCTGCAAGGCTACACAAAGCCTTATTTAGCCAAGTCTCGCTTACTTGATCCAGTGGATACTTCATATCATTATGTGCTTTTTGAATTATCGTGAGGCTGCCCATCCAAAGTGTGGTTAGGTTGTGTCCTTCTGATATGCGAGAGAATCATGCGGTCTCTTGTTTTCTTCTTTAACTTAAATACCTAAAACAAACAGCTGTAAATTTTGTTCAGTGTTTTAAATTTACGCAGTTGGTTAGACTTATGGTGCAAATATAAGAAAATGTGTAGTTCTGGGATTTTAGGCAACCAAAGTATGTTTATAACAAGTACTGGTACATTTTTTATGTGCATTTACCAGATCGTTTAAATACTCTTTCTTCGTTGCATCAAAGGGTTTGGCAACCGTCAATCGACGAAAGAGGGCTTTTAAATTGAATAACTTTATGTCATGAAATGTAAGCAACTCAGTGAACCAATTAGAACTCAAGTCAAACACGGCTGAAAAGCGCCATGCACGGGGAAACGCCATATGGTTTGCGACTTATTTTTATTGGGAAGTGCTCATGAGCTTCTTGGATAAAATACAGGGTGAAGTCGTTTATCTTCGTTATTTTTGTAAAGTATTGACGAAAGAGAGTGGACATGTATATAACCTCGTCTGTATTTTCCTTTGCAGATTTTAGATAAACATCCTTGGTACCAGATTACTTTTCCAGGCTGGGAAAGGAAGATTACAAAAATAACCACGTGGGGAGGGGGCAGAGGGTCAGGGTTTGTCAGTGTGTACAGTCTAAAGTCCACACGTACGCTTGACGTAGACATCACGGTTTGGTCAGACTACCAGGAAGGCGGAAAAACCAGGGTCAGAGACTGATGTGACTTATGTTGTTAAAAATAAAAAAGGGTTGTTATTGGTCAATGAAATTGCAAATGGTTGAATTAGTCTTTACAACAAATTTATAGAAAAAGAAACCAATTAGACTTAAAACTCTGCGATTTTCCGTTTTAAAGGTTTCGTTTTTGTGGTAAACTATTCGCTTAGAACTGTGAAATTTTATAACTATGTCACAATGTTCTGGTATCACAGAATTTCCGAGGCAACCAAGACGCTGTTAATCCGGTGTCGCACCTCCTGGCAGAACCAATCATAGCGGATGCATTGCGCATAAAGCCGCTGAACTGGTCGTCAATTGGTGCTTGTCTACGCCTTGAAGTCTTTGGATGTGATAAAGGTGAGTTTTCTTTCTTAAAATGACTTGTCTTTTTCAACGCAACTTTCATAATGAAGGCTTGCTGAGCAGGAAATCCAAACCTTCGTTTAGTATAGAAGGTACTGACTTAATATCCCGTGAACAAACATGGGAAGTTACAAGCCTTATCAGTCCCTTAGAGACTTTCCTGTCATTAATCAAACTTTTTCTCGTTAACTAAACTGGGTGATGAGTCACTGCGAAGTTTCTCTGCGGCAAACCCTTCCGTCTTTATGATTATCTAACTAAGTCAGTGCGAATTCCATCAATTGAAATTTGCAACACTTCTCGTTACCTACAAGCGCGATGCTTTTCTAACGAAATAAAATTCCTGCCTCTCGAGTAAAATTGTCGCTGACCTGTCCCACGTCGTGTCGCATACAAATACTAGTCTACCCACCTCCCCTACCTAAAGGCCCTTGGTCACGTGCTTAGTCTGCCTGCTGGGTTTTTCCAATTGGTAGAGACACGGCTCGATCTTTCTTGTCAAACTGCTCTTATTTTCCAGGATGCAACTCTGCCCTCGGTTTAAGGCAGGGGATCATCAAAGACTCAGCTTTATCAGCGAGTTCATCATTAGACGAGGCCCACTTGGCCAATAAGGGTCGGTTAAATGGAAGTACTGGGTGGTGTGCATCTGATAATTATAGAGAGAGCTACTTTGAGGTAAGTAGTTTCCCCATAGGTATTGTTCACTGAAGTGGATATAGATATCCATCACTTTCACCCGCACTGAGGAGAATAACTATTTAAGTTTATACCTCACAGAAACCTTTGGCTGGTCGGAGATCAATAGTACTTGCTAATTACTTACAAACCAGCCAGTTAGCGCACGCAAAAATACTATTCGCCTATGTGGTATATACTAATATGTGATATCTCCCGGTAATTGTCAATTCACGTTCCAACGATTGTCTCTTTTTCGTCTCTGGAAAATGCTTCGTAGGAAGAGAAAATTTTACCTCACCAGTTCTTATTTGTTGTCTCGTTTCTTCCCATTTCAAGATTGACTTCGGAGTTGCGATGAAAGTAAGCACCGTAGCTATACAAGGAGCTGAAGATGGTAAGGGGTACATCAAAAGTTACATTGTGAATACGAAAGACTATGTTGATGGACCATGGACTCAATACAGGCAGAACGATAAGACTAAGGTGGGTAATGTGACGTAAGTGAGCGTCTTGATCTGAATTTTATACCATATCATTGATTATTTGTAAAGGAATATGGAGTGTTCTGCAACCTCCGAAATGTATCACATAAAAAAACAGGATCATTGGATAATGTAGTTCAAGACTTTTTATTGGCTTAACCATCATTGGTTATGAGCTATTATACCATACGCGCACATGAAGACGAGTTCAACCGAAAGTGGTTTTGTACACTGTATCATTCCGTTTGTTCTTACAAAATAAAGTTGGAATGTATCTATATTTCGGGACGTTTTTGATAAAACAATTATCTCACTCGCCCTTGTTGGATATAAATGAGATGATTGTCAGCAACTCTACTGGCCTCGTTGGCCATCTATCATCTCATATCTAACGCGCGCTCGTGAAATGATTGTTAAATATCACAAGGCAAATAGTTATAGATATTGTACATATTGTTCTTAGACACAAAAATGGAACTGTGTAGGCTAGATTACGATATTGGATCAACACCACACGCAAGAGAGAGGGTGCCTCTTTACCAAAGTCAGATACTTGCCTTTGCTATTCCTTTGCCATTCCATTGCCATTCTTTTGGTTGATGTTGTCAATTTAGACGGAAAGTTTACTTTACACAATATTTTAGGTCTTCTTGGCAAACGTGGATTTCTCATCAATAGTGAAAAACTCGTTCCCTTCTGGTCTGCGGGGAAGGTATATCAGGATAAAGCCAAAGACATGGAGTGATCGACCGTGTCTCCGTTTAGAATTGTATGGCTGTAAGAGTGGTAGGTACACCTAAATAACTATAGATATCTCTTTGCCAATTACTATTACTATAAAGTTGCAAGCAAAATAGGCAATGGTAGATAAACTGTTCGAAATTCAAAATGATGATATACAAGGCGCAGTGGAGGAGCCAAACCATTAATACCGCGAAGTAAATCAATTGATTTGCAGATCTTCAGATTTTAATTTCAAAGGCTTCGACGCCACTCGGTTATTTTGTTCCCCACCAGTAGTTAGTGGCAACCAACGTCAAACTAATTATATTTACCTACGTACAGATACGTCTGTGAGTTGCAAAACTTTTTGCTCGTTTGTTACTTACTCTATGGGTCTTAATCCTCTTTCTAATCCCAGTACGGTACTTAGTTGAACTTTCTCCGTACCACCATGTGACTAAACAGTCTCCTGTCCCATGTCCCAAACGAGAGTTTGATGGGACAGCTATATTCAGGGGACTGAATTAAAGTGCTAATACCCTTCAGATGGGATGAACAACTTTTAAAATCAAACTGGTGCTCTCGTGTAAGCAAAAACATGCAGCTACCGCGGAGACTTTCTGCCGTGTGCATCATTGTCGAGAGAAGCAGTTGCCTTATAGCTAACTTACTGAACACTCCGCGGTCTGGGTGGATCATTCTGTTGTGTTCTTTCGGCAAGGTCCTCTCGATACCTTTTTCCAACCATGAATATATCCGAGTACAAGTTAATTATCAAGGGGAAATATATGATGGAGGAAGGGCATAAATATCCTTCTTAGTTTTTGTCTCTTTATGCTACATCAACTGGGATGAGGTACGATTGGTATGCGGCTCAGTCTCAAGTAGACATTAACTTTAGTTCTGCACAATATCACCATCTTTGTTTCCACTAAATGCTACTGTTGATGTGGTTAGAGTTGATTTGCAGCGGTCTGTTTTGTTTTTTCACTTTCAGATTTGCAACCAACTATCATCCCATCAGTGAGTACAACACCATCAGCAGGTAAACACTCTCTTTATGTAGAGAATATGCAAAGGATTGCAAAATTGATGTGTCCAGTATGCTTTGTGCACAGTATGTTATGTTCTACAACTTTTTCAGAAGTTTTCGTGATACTTCGAAAGAAGTAAAAATCACCTTTGAAATCATATGGAGAATTGATATGCACACGCAACATCATTTTCAGAATCACTCAATGAGTCGTCGTTGGCACAAAACTTCCTGAATAGAATCATAAATTAATGGGATATCAGGAGGAATTGTATTCGTTGCATTTGTCCTCTGATTTCTTTAAATCCTGTTAATTCACGGGTCAGATTTTTAGGATTAGTTAAAGGTTAGAACTGATGCGGACTTTCCAACATTTGTCTGTGAACTCACACCGCAGAGTCACTAAACTACCAGAAAATATGACAAGTCAAACTTTCACTGTGCTGGTAATCTGAACACTACAACGTTTACTTTTCAGTTCTAACGTATAGAGGCTCAGTAAAGTTCTCCAACAAGACATGGACTGATGAATACGAGAATCCTGGTAGCGAAGCATTCAAGACTCTCGCAAGGAAGATAGAAAAATCGGTACAAACTATTTTGGCCAGTTTTAATCCATTGCTTTCAATGTTCATATATTTAAGTCTAGACTACTATATTCTATTGTAAGCCACTTTGATAAATTCCTGTATGACAGATTGAGACGTCATTCCGATCGCCTTTTGCCCTCTTTATTTTTGTTAGATTGCTGACTTGTACAACGACGATAAGAACGATGAAGCATCAAAAGCCTTCTTGAATGTTACAATAACCGGATTCAGGTATATTGTGGCTTTCCAAGAAACACGTGCGAAACAATTGAACAAAGTTCCGGCCACTTCTTTGTTTAGTTCTGGTATCATAGAATCTTAAATAGTATATTGAAATCTCTCTGTATTACTTAATTTAAAATTGTTCATTTTGAACCCTCGCGAAAGCCCCTGTAGCTGTAGGCCCGTCTAGCTGTAGGCCCGTCTAGCTGTAGGTCCGTCTAGCTGTAGGCCCGTCTAGCTGTAGGCCTATTTAGCTGTAGTCTCGTCTAGCAGTAGGCCGGTCTAGCTGTAGGACCCCTTAGCTGTAGGTCCCTGAAGCTGTAGGCCCTTCTGGCTGTAGGCCCGTCTAGCTGTAGGCCCGTCTAGCTGTAGGTCCCTCTAGCTGTTGGCCAGTCTGGCAGTAGGCTCCTCCAGCTGTAGGCCCCTCTAGCTGTTGGTCCGTCTAGCTGTAGGCCCTTCTAGCTGTAGGCCCGTCTAGCTGTAGGCCCGTCTAGCCGTAGCTCTCTATAGCTGTAGGCCCATCTAGGCGAAGGCCCGTCTAGCTTTAAACCTTTCTAGCTGTAGGCTCCTTTAGCTGTAGGCTCCTCTAGCTTTTGACCCGTCTAGCCGTAAGATCCTCAAGCTGTAGGCCCGTCTAGCTCTTAGCCTGTTGCTGTTGGCCCGTCTAGCTGTAGGCTCTTCTAGCTGTAGGCTCTTCTAGCTGTAGGCTCCTCTTCTTGTAGGCCCGTCCAATCCCTTTTACGGGCTGAGTAACATCCAAATTACTTTCATACGGAATGTTTCTGAAAAAAGTTTGAGATCCTGGGATATAAGATCTTTTCCTTTTTTCTAATCTGGTTCATCATAAGCCTGTTTGGAAACTAATTTTCCTTTTCCCTTTTTTAGATTTTACTCCGCTTACCTCCACTTACACCTTCCTCTACTGCCACGAGACTACTTTAAAACATTTTATTTAATGCTCGTAATGCCCGCATATGTAGCATTCCAAAGATCAATGGTGTCCTCAAAATATTCTTGAATCTAAGTTAGCGAAAAAAGATGAACGCGTTATAAATGTTCAAGTCTTCGTTAATTTCTGTTTCTGTCTTTCGTTGTAGTCGTGGCAGTATCATTGCTAAGTTTAGGCTGACGTTTTTCCGGGATATTGCTAACAATCTTGGCGCTAATGTGACCAGGAAGCTTGTTGAGGCTGTGGACAGTGGAGAATTAGCAGGGTTGGCCGTTGATCAGTCATCTTTAATTATCAAGATAGAAGATGGTACGCTAGCCTTTCAGTTGTTCTTTAACATTGCTCTGTAGCAGAGCTATGCTCCTCAAAAGGATCATGTTCTTGTGGTTTGTGTGAGCTGCCTCAGCCTTCTGCTTCGGCAGATAGCTCAGACCTCGGTTTTTATGATTCATGATATCAAGCTCAACCTCATCCAAGAATTGCTATGTACATTATCCCGACATTTAATAGCCCAAAGGTTTGTAAGTCGGTTATGTTCTTTTCTTAGGTGATGAATAATTATAATAACGTCTGGGCTCAAAGAAAGTGTTGATTATATATTTCCTCTAGTAATATTAGTTTTGTAGTTGTTTGTTTTGTTTTTGAACTGTTTTATCACCTTTTTGAAATTTCAGATTCAAGTGTTAGCACCAGCAGTCAGCCTACAACAGAAAATCAAATAGACAGTAAGTTAATGTAAACAGACTAGCTTTGAAACAGATGCGAGAGTCCGTTTATTGGTGTTCTCAGCTAGAGCTATTCTGTTTAACACTTGTCTTAATTCTTATTATTACAGGCGAAGAGGGTACAAATGTAATATACATATTGATACCAGCTTTCATTTTCCTGTTGATGTGTTGCTGCGGGTTAGGTTTGTATCTCTTCTGTAAGCGCAAGAAAGGAAATCATCCGCTAAACCACCAGCAGTTTAATAACCCGATTTTCTTCTCAAACTCCAAGCAAGAAATACAAACAAATGGTCATGCAGTAACTTCAAACGGGACTACAACAACAGCAACGTAAGACCTACCTTGGGAGAGAAGTCGTTACAGGAGATAAATGGCGGCTGGAGGTGAAAAGAAAAATTTTAAGAAAATGAATATTTAAAAAAAACATGGCCTTTGGCTTTCGTTGATAAAATTACCGTTACGGTAAAATGGAGCAATTATTCCGCATTTTAGCATCTGCGTGACGACCGCAAAGAGCAAAATGCAATAAAATGAAGTGTTACCCAAGCTAAAAAAAAAAATGGCATGAATTCCAAAATTATAGTCTGAAAGTTTTTGATATCCAACTTTTTCTTTTTTTGGAAAATTTATTTTAAAAAGCGGTAACACTTATTTTATGTGCTTTTTCTGTCAGAGGTCGTTATTTTCTTTTTATACTTGGAACGGGTGTATTTAAATTTACATAACACTAGATGTAACCCAGGCATTCATTTCTATGCGGCCTCGTTCGATAAAATGCACCACGTGGTACAAATCATGAGAGAATATGCTTGGTTCTATTTGATAAGACTTTGTTGTGAACTCACAGCTCCAAATTAACAAGGAAATCAAAGGTGAAGAGTTCATTTTGTTAGACTCAATTCTTTAGTTGCGTGACGACTTGCTTCACTTTAGGAAGTCGGGCATGGTGTCCTAAAACGATAATTAACAAGTAGCCACCGACACTTACGTGAATAGTCGTTTTAGTAGATACTAAAACAGTGAGATGTTAGAGCACAAAAAGATGATTTTAACTCATTTATTTATGCAGCGATTACAATATTTTCGCGCGCAAATCCCGCACGCGTTGCTCGGAAGTGAAAAAGGAAAGGATATAAGGAGTTTGAGTAGCCAATTAGAGCGCGCCTTCTACGCTAAGATTGTGCAGCTGTTTTCCCGGCATGAAGCTCAGTAGGTCTTTTGTTATCAATGTTACTTCAGCAGTAGCGAGCTTTTCCTTTCAAAGTGAAAATGTCACTTCAAGGTATTTCACCTTTTTATTCTGCAAAATAATAGAAATTAGCTGAGAGCAGGAAAACATTTGGAGAATTCTAGCTCTAATGCATGCGTAAATTAGTGTTTTATCAAGACGCTTTTACACCAGAGAGGATTCTCGATTGCCTTAGTTTTTTTGCGCAAAAGGACTTTTGTCCGTCTGGGAAACGAAGTTTCTCACTCTTAATCTCTTAATTTTGTGAATATAACGGAAATCTTTCTGGTGTAATTGGATCCAAGCTGTCCTATCATATAAGTTAAGTATGAGATAACCACAAGTGTTACAAAAGTGCTTATCTCACATATATATGCATGTTTATACTGGTGCATGCGCAATGTGACCCGGGAAACATGTTCTGCATCGTCTCTATGCAACGTTGTTTTTCTGTGCACATTGATTTGAATAACTGAATAATTATGGAAATGTGAAGGATGAGTTAATGACTTTATACTGGGCAATGATTTTCAGTGTATCAGGTTATATATTACTATATTCAAAAACGGAATAATCTTAACATCTAACCCTTAAAGTGCTTAGCACTCAGTGAAAATTATAATGGACTCCTTTCTACGATGGATTTTTTTTTTTTAATAAACTATGTCCATCATTTTTGACATGTTAAAGATGTATCAAGTATTTCTAAACCGGGGATAAGGCTACAATTTTTCCAACAGTTTGTTGGAGTTAAGCACACTGATACAGGAACTTGTGGCTTTTAGTGACCTTAAGCAAGATTGTAATGAAAGGAATTATTTTATAAAGTGACTTCTTTTATATTTATCTACTTCTCACTTAATGTTATTTGCGTGTCTTTGTTTTCCCCTTGTTCCAGGTTTATCGTAACAAAAAATTATTGTACTTTTAGTGATTTGTATCAGCTAAAAGCATAAATAAGCATAAGATTGAACAATTTTATTCTGACTTAATTATGCTTTACCCAAGCTTCTGCGAAAAATTTCCTGCAAGTTTTTATATATCAGAAAAAAACACAATAAAAGAACAAGTTTTGCTGTAGAAAATAGTTACTTTTTCTTTTTAGTGTATAGCTGTCACAGAAGACATTAAAGGGTCTTCAACTGTCCTCATTCGGGAAAAGAAAATCCTATGCCTTTCATTCGCGAAAGAATTGAATCCTCTCGCAAATTAGATCTCACTTCCTCTATGTCTGAAATTTAACTATACCATCACTTTAACCGTAATGAAATTAACCTCATCTTGGTTTCTATGCCAATGAACGACAAATTTCACGATTGTCAAAAGCTTTGTGTCCGTACGCGGCTTCCCTGGCAATTTTTCACTGCAACGGTGGAAACATAATGAAGCAAGCCAAGCAAAGCACATTCCATCTCAAGGCACTTTGTAAACAATTGGGCAAATGTTTCCTGCGTTGATGATATAAAATCTTTAACTTACCAGAGAGCTTTCGATACGAAAAAAAAGTTTGAGTGACTTCGATAAAGTATCTTTGGATCAGAAAACTGTAATCTTTCTCACAAGTGCGTTTGTCTTACAAAAAGTATCCTTTAAGGTATCTTACAAAAAGTGTTTAAAGTAGCATGAGCAAAGAGAAAGTGAGTAAACACCAATAAATTTTGCTTGTAGGTATGTTCAGAATAACGGAATTATGTTCGATTTTAGACACCAGTGTCAAATTTTGGACACTATTGTCCGAGTCTTTTTTTTATTATTATTACGCCCGTTTGTTTGTCTGCTCTGCCAAGCCGTTCCGTAGGTTAAAAGGAAGTCTTCTTCAATTGAGGTAGATTTAGTTTTTTCTTTTGGGCTCGAATAGTGGATGATGGAGAGAGTGGGGAAGAGACATGCACTTAGCTGCTATTTAATTTGAATGTAAAATTCCAGGGGAACAATTCTTCTGGATCGTTTGCTAGACTTCACCGATCAATACTTAAACAACAATACGACAAAAACAGGCATTTAAATACTTAGAGAAAAAAAGGCAAGATTCAAAGAAACATCATAGAAAATACACAATTGAGAAATTATTTTTTACTAGCATAACTTTGAGCTTTGTGCACCCAGGGATAAACCACCC